GCATGTTGAGCGGCAAAAAACTGGTTTGTTTACATAAGATTAACAAGACTGGTACTAATTACATCCATTTTATCTTTCCATATTTTCTTTATAAAAACCCTAATGAAGACATTATGCACTCATCAGTGTCAATGGCTTTTCAAGCCTGGCGTACGCAGAATCTAAGTTCTATTTGCACAGTAATTCTTCCAAATTCTTATTTTTAAGAAACCCCACAATCTTTTTTGTCCAGGGATTAGCACCCAGCCTGTTTCAAACCACGCATAAACTCTTAGGAGTCTGTTGTGATTGCAATATCTCTAACACAATGCATGTAACTCATTTTGCATTTTTGCAGTTAAAATTAATTCATTCAGTGCTGTATTAGAGTCTTCAGGAGGTCAGAACAGAGTCTGTTGCCTAACCCAGACCTAAATTTTAATCCTCCTGAAGTTCAGCGGATTATTTGAATTTCGCATGTCAACCCAGATTAATCTATTATTTGTGTTTTAAAAAAAGGTATTTATTTACAACAGCTTGTAATACTAACAAGTACCCTTTAATGTGTCCTTATTTGCATATCATAAGAGTGCATTTATCTGTTAAATCTAAATTAAATGAATGGATGAGACAGGAATTTGAAAAGTCCTCCATAAAATTGGGCAGAGTTGCTGGGGTTATTCATTTGTTTGTCCTAAGTCAGACTGAGGAACTGGGGAGAATGACCCCTAAAGTTTTAAAAATTATTATTGTTTTGAAAAAAAATATTAAAAAGGGAAACATTACCTTCACATCCCCCATTTCTTCACTTAAACTCTAACTGCCCCACTGCAAACTGCACATGTATCCTTTGTTTCCCCACTGAAAGCAGATGCTCCCCAGCAGCAACCTTGTTTAGAGACCTTTGTACAAATTACCATGCCAAGGCACACACTGCAGTGAAGATCTGGTGCACAGTGAGATGTTAAGGACACGACACAAATTACATGTACGAGGTGAAACGTGACATGTGACTGGAAATATTGTTAAAGTACAAATATCCAGAATTATGAGAAAGATTAGCTGAGAGATAATGTGATAGCTGAGCCATGCTGCTGTTAACTACACCAAAACGCGGAGCAGGGACAATATGAGCACACACACACACACACACACGCTGTTCCCAGAAAAGACCAACCAGAGATGGACAGAAGTGAATGAGAAGAATAAACACAGCCACAATCTACAGGCAATTCCCAAATGTTCACTTAGAAGGAAAAAACAAAACAGTTATTCACTTTTTTTTTCTTCTAAGCAGCACAATGAATATTTAAAAGATTCGCTTCTCACCGAATATCTGAAATTCAAATGTAACCTTTATCCTTTATCTCTTTAAAAATCTTTATAAATACAAGCTGATTCCATCCATTTCCATACTGAAATTCAGATAAATTGCCATTAAATGGTATGAGCTGTTAAATATTAGATATCAAGTCAATATAATAATTTAGGCTAAGAAGTTATTGTTATTGTATCTGAATGAGAATACAGGAAGAATTTAGAAAAAAGGAAAGTGCTCAAGAAATCTGGGGTTTGATGAGCCCACACTACCTTCCTGGATCTTTACAGTGGTTTTGACATAAACACAAACAGTCAGGATATCAGTTTGCATCTCACGTGGGAAAAAAAAGGCATTTTCTTAGAGCACTGAACATGAAAAAAAAATGGGGGCATGGACTTAATACAATACTGCAGGGAAAATATAACTCAGCAGGTAACAGCTTCCGAGACCTCCTGAGCACCCTTTCTCCTTCTATGACTTTCTCGTGTGTACACAGTTTGAAAAGGGAAGATGCTAAACAATGTTGTTAAGCGGTAACAAAACTGACTGTAATTTTCAGGTGACAGTTTGCAGACACACAGACTCTGCAAGCACACCTGCCGCAGCAGGATTTCGGGAGATGACAGCTTTGACAATCCAAACTTCATTGTCTAATATACTGCAGAGGTGACTCAAGGCAAAACCAGTATTCTTTCTCATTACTTTGAATTTTCAGAACTGAATAAAATGGACAGTTTTCCTGCATGCTCCAATTTCTTTCATTTCTCTCAGGCAGTGGCTGCATTATCACTGGTACTTCCACAGGCAAAGAAAATCTTCCTTCTAAGAGCAGAGTTTGCACTCAGACCCAACCCTCCTCTCCCATTCCCTGTGTTTCATTTTCATTTGAACTTCAGACATTATTTGCACTGCATTATAGAGCATTGCAATATTTTATGGTTCTATTAAAACGCTGTCCCCATCACTTCTTGCAAATCAAACCCTCTAATTATAAATAATAATAAAAATGCAGGGCAGGAAGTTCTCTGCTTTCCATCTGCTTTCCATTAGATGACTCGACCCAGCCAAATCTACGGACAATTAAACAACACAAGGAGTTCTATGTTTGTAAATTCCTTCATGGCAAAGAGTTTTATGCCGCAGATACAAAATGTCCTAGATGCTCTACACATCATATTTTGATTAAAGAAAATAAAGTTTGCATGTTGATAAGTATGTCTTATCAAGCCCAAATCTAAAACTTCACATTCATTCTAGATTAAATATCCTGCTAATGTTGAGGAAGGACAAAAGCTCCAAGTGGTTCAGTCTCTGTTCCTTGGGAAGAGCCAATTTGATGTTTCATATAGAAAAGGGTAAAGGGAGAAAATTAATTGCTGTGGATATTTAAGTGTGTGAGGAATACCCTGTGTGTTTAAGCCATAGCTTAGAATAAATGCATGGAACATGAGTGAGGAAATTGCCAGCTCTTCTGCATTATCCCAGCAATGCAATTCCTGGCGAGGCTCTGGAGGAGCCACCTGGAAGGATCCGATTCCACATTTCACAGCAGTGCTACTTAAGCCACTCAGGGGACTCCAGCAACTCCTTTCTGCCCCCGTGCCACCCTCCTGGACTGTGCTGACAAGGCATTCAGCTTGTGCAGCTGTGTGGTAACCCAGCCCAGGAAACTAAAACCCCTCTTCTGTATTTCACACCATTTTTCCTCCAGGCAGATACGATTCCTTGAGATCTCCAACATCACATTCAAGATGCTTTAACTATGGGAACCTCCTCCCTGACTCCTTCTAGCTCCCTTCAAGTCACAACTTCTATAGCAACTGAGGAGGAGTCTTCCAGACTCCTGTCTCCACCATGTAAGTACTGTCACTTCCCAAGGTGGAAGAAATAGAAAGCATAATGCTACCAAACAAAAAAAAAAAGGTATCATAAATTCTGTGTGCAAAGGAAGGGCAGGGAAGGATTACAGAACAGCTGCAGCATTCGTTCGAGCAACCCTTACATCTGAAAGCTCATTAGTGTTCTTCTCGAGTTGTCTTTTGCCTTTAATTGTACCCATAGAACAACTATCAGGGAAGGTCAACAGGGACAGCCTCATGACTTGGCAATGTCTTTCAACTTATTACTTTTAATAGGACTTGGGCTTTTGCTATCAACTTTGTAATGCACATTTCCCAGGATTGAAAGAGGAATTCCACCCCCGAGTGTGTTGTTAAAGCCAAATAGAATCTATTAATCCATGCTGCTTCATTATCTCTTATTAAAGCACAGCAAGAAACTACTCACTAGCAGCTCATGGCATTTAATTGCCTGAGCCATATTTAATAATAAACAGTTGCTTATGATTGTATCTATCAGTATTTAGATTTAAAGTTGCTCTTGTCTACATGCTTTAGGTGATAGTGTAGAGAGAAGTGTCTGATCACAGTATTTAGAGATCAACTTCAAAAAACAACAGGCAGATATGGGATTTATGGAATAACCACCTGCTGCAGGGCTTTGAATCGCTGGTGATCCCCGTGACAGGATCCCAGTGAGCACATTTGCATGCTCCAGGAATAACAGAGGCTGGAGATACCAATGGCTGCAAAAACCAGCCCTGAGCTGTCAGCCCTTTGAAGCACAGGGATTAATGCAGAGCACTGATAGCTCAGGGTGTTCCTGACTTTTTAGCACTGAACCCAAAGTTCCAAGCTCTGACACAAGATCTGATAAAATCCATTTCCCTCAGTAAAAGTCAAACTTTTGAATCGCAGCTATCTGTTTTAAACTATCAAGTCAGCAATCTTATAAGATAAGGAACATCATTAAAATAAAGAAAATAGATGAAAAGAACGCCAGTTAGCCAGCTTTCCAACTCAACTTGCCGGTTGAATAATATTTTAAGAAAGATCAGCAATTTCAAGCTGCTTTCTCTTGATATAGAAGATACAGAGATATATGAATAAATAGATTTTTTAAAAAATATCAGAAGAATAAAACAAAAGCTTCACCATCAGTAAATTCAGCATAGACCTCAGTTATGCCAGCACATCTAACTGCAATCACCTCCAGTGGACACTAAGATGACAGTAGAATCAGATCCAAGATGTCCTTTTTTTCCTTTCATCAGCAGAGCTTGGTATTAATTTGCCTGTATCTCATACAATACACAACTGTCCAGAAGGCAGCAGGAAGTAGGTAGGGTCATGTACCCAGAGCAGAAGCAATTAGGATACCAAGTGCTGTTCCATCTGACTTTCTCCATCAATCCCCAAAGAGAAAGAAGCTTCCAGTACCTAATTAATCTATTCCATCTAAGTCAGCATCAACATTTTTGGGTCGCCTGTATGTTCTGTATGACAAAAACGTAACAGACAACATTTCTGGACACCAAGAACTGAGATGTTGCATGGAATCACTAGTTACAGATTGCTGAAGGAATCTTAAATTCTTTCAAGCTTAAATTCTTTCCAGTCATGCAGGAGATGGACATGGACACCAGCTTACAAAACACCGCAGATGAAAAGACATTCAACAGTGGCAACGATTCAGAGAGAGGTAACGTGGATGATCAACACATAGAAAGGATAATATGGTATCTATAAAGAATGATCAATACACAGAGTATAACATGATATGTATAAAGGAGATATTAAACATGGAACATCAAAAGAATAATTGCATTTTATTTCACTGCATGATAAAACAATACACATACCTGGTTTTGGCACAGAATTGGTCACGGACTGAGGAACTTTGTCGTTAATCAGTTCCACACACTCACTAGGAAAAAATCCAACCTGTAGGAAAAACAGAGAGAGGCACAATATTGAATGTAGTGCTTTTAAGATCCGAACTGTTAAACTAGCAACTGTTAAACATCTTCCTCAAACTCTGCTTGCCTGATGCTCCATAACATTATCCAACATAAAACGATCAGCATAAGAGTAATAATTTTTCAAAATGATGCAGCTAAAAATTCTACAAACCAAATAATTAGTTCTGTAAAATATGGTTGTAAGTCTGTTTTCTAAGCTTGGTCCACAGGACAGAGACATTCAACTTGCAAGAGAGAGAGGAGAGGACAAGTGACACGCACCCTTAAATCTCAAGTGGAACTTGACAGAGAGAGAAAGATTTTAGCTGAGGTTCCTGCACCTGGCTGCATGTATGTAACATGAAATTTAGTGAAGAGAGCAAGATGTTTCAGCTCTCAGCATCTCAGTGACCTGTACTCCAATCTCACCGACACTTGACCTTTTTTTCACTGTCAAAATACTCTATTCACAAGCACTTTAGTATTTTATTCCTTTCGAAAACTGAAATCAAATATGGGTCAATATATTTGCATGTCTGTACAGTCCCATGACAGAAAAATGCCTGTTCTTGGATGGTAAGTGAGGAGAAGACATTTTGAATGCACAAAGCTCTCTGCTGTGTCCCAGCCTTCCTGTGTGCACTTCATTTCATGAGCGTGGGTAAGAAGTGATACTCCTGAAGCATTTAAATGAAGTGTGTTTAAAGATCTTGCTAAAAACCTTCAATGTGGTTTTAGTTGAATTGAATTCAACTCAAACTTAAGAGCTGAGAACAGGTTTAATAAAATATACATAGAGTAAAGTGAAGAACCCAGTAATTTGACTGGAAATAAACATGAGTATTTTTAGAAGAAACAGCATGATGTAGCAAAAAAAAATCTCTAACAAGAGCCAGAATTCCTGGTGTGTACCCTCGTTATCTGCTTCTGAACATGGACAAGCCAGTGCAACCACTGTGCCTCAGTTTCCCTATCAGCAAAGGACAAGAGAGAATCGTGCCACAACAACCAGTACTGAAAATTGATTTGAGAGAACAGCTGACAAACACACTGCACAAGCTGTTTGACCGTTCGGATTTATCTGTGTACCTGCTAATCAAGCTGAAACAGAAAGAATATTCCAGAAAGAAACCCCAGTGGCAAGATTCTCCTTAGCAAATATTTGAAGATGCTTCAAAAGCAACGACCCACCCTGGGCTACCACATAGCAGTGCTGTGCAAAAAAATTGTGCCAGCATCACTGACAATGAAGACATCTCCAAAGACATCTCCAAGCAGCCAGTTCCCAGTGAGGTCCTGGGACTGATCACTTTGAAATGTTAATTTGCAGCGTTCCTGCACTGACCTTTAACACAGCGTTTCTCCCTCTCTAAATTCAGAAATGCTGGAGATTGTCTAAAGCAACATAAGAGTTAAAGACTAGAAGATGGGGAGGATCTTCGAGTTCTGTTTCAATAAGACAGCCTGTAGAAATTCACATGCCACTCAAAGGTCTCTGTATCTGGGGAGAAGTGAAATTATTTCCCTCCCACTGTTTAAGGATTCGGGCTAAGATGTGAACAGAGAGGAATTTTACACTTCCCAGCATCCCGACCTTCTCTCCACGTCACAGTGTCTTCCTTCTTACTCTCATCCCAGGTGAAAGTCAGGCCAGGCCAGACCAGAGCCTCTGGCAACTTTTATCCTTTAGTCTGTATTTCCAGACATTTTCTTCTCTCCTATCCCACCTCCTCACCCAACACAGCTTCTGTACTGTGACATGTAATTCAAGCACCACCAGCCTTCTGAGACACCTTGGCTAAGCCAGAAGCAGGATTTCCTGCCCTGTGTCCGGCATGTGATTTGGACAGCTGAAAGCATCAAGTCACTTCACGCAGCCACAGTTTGGTCAAGTGCTGCAACAATACATGGCAGAGAGCCAGCGGATGGGCCCCAAGCTCATCTAAACAGAAGAGCTGGGCCAGGACTGCTGCCAGCCATGTTAGCACATCTATGAAATGCATCGGAGCCACAAGGCAGGCAGCACTGCCAGTCTGGCAAACAGTCCCTCCTCTAGTTATTCATCTTACACAATTCTCTTTTGTCTCCAAGGAAAAAAAAATTTTCCTACTCCAAGTTGATTTTCACCCATAAACCCCCAAGTCATTTAGTAGCAGTGTCATGCATGGTGTGTCCAGGTAACACTCCAGACTTTGAAACTATTCCGAATTCCCTCAGGGAAGCAACAGTTAATAGTAATTCCAGATAACAACTTCTTCCCACACCCCCGAAATCCAGCAAGGCAACATCTTGTCCAAGCAAGAGGACAAACTGTAATCCATCACACTTAACGTTAAAGACTTGGAATATGCTTTTTGTTAAGACTACGACAGCATGGGAACAGAACTTGTAACTATGATCAGCAGACCTTGCTCCTCTGATCAGTGGTTTCCTGTCGTTGAGACTGGCCCGTGCATTACGCTTCTGCTCAAGTGACTCACAGAACTGAAGAACCCATCCAAAACCAAAGATAATGTATGGCTTCACCTAACCACTCACTCAGCTGAGATGATATCCTGGAGTTATATAACGTGGTGGTGATTTTTGTGCGGTTGATAGACAGAAAGATGTTGCTTAGCACAAGAAAAGCAGCACAAATACCAGCTCTGCATACAGGGGCCCTTCGTCAGGCACCTCAGTGATGCTGCTTTGCTGGAGATGTTGAGAAACAGGCTGATTGGTACCTACATAAAAAGTAGCAGTATTTAAACAAAACACATGATATGGTTTTTAAATACTTTCCTATAGCTAAGAGTCTCTCTTGGACATTTCCTGTGGCAGAGATGCAGGAGATAAGTTTTAAGTTAGGAAAAATGTACATATTCAGTGAAAGTCTCGACCCCATCACACAAACAATGTATTTGGGAGACTCCACAGCTGAAGGGATATAGTTTCATTCATCCTCAATCCTCTTAAATCCAACCCAGAATCGCACAGTGTAATCAAAAGCTCGTTTGTCTTTGATTGTTAATATAATGCATCTCCTATTTCTGGATGCAATATACAACGCTAAACATGAATTTAGAAATGAAAGAAGACTCAAGATGGTTATATGGTACTGCTTCTAGATATCTCGGAATCTTTCCCAAATAAAACACTATATCTGTTTTCAATGTATCATTTTTTGCCATGCTCACAACCAATAATTCTAATGGACTTATAAGGAAAAGAGAATTTTCACTTGTGCTGGTGTTGACAAGCTCTCTGATGTCAACTTACTGGTAATAGTGCTTATGGTTCTTTTTTTTTTTCATTTATTCTGACTTTGATTGTAAGATCCCCAAGAGATCATCTTTAGGGTCATAACCTACAACTTGTGCCTCGTTCCCACCCACTTAAAAGATGCTGCTGGAAAGGTTTCCACGATTTTGTATAAATAAATGAGTTTAGTCCAAGAATTAATCTCAACAGATGTAGCAAGGCACCGTTAGAGCTCAAGCCAGGATTAAAGGATTTGGCAACATATGAAAATTAATAGCAAGGATAGTATGTATTTAAATAAAGACAAGGTCATCTAAAGGTTAAAAAAATCACTACACACCTTAAGCAAAGGAGGAAAGCACAGGCTACTGTTGGATGCAAACATTTCTGCAACAGCTACTACATCATTTTTTCACTTTTCTGCCAGCATCTGCTAAAACTGGAAGATACACGAGGCTTTCAAGGGGAAAAGTCAAAATAGCAGTAATAATTTTCAGTGGAGGAGGAGGGAATTTAAACAAATGAGAAAGCAGTAGCAACATAAATGGCAAATGAAACAGGGCTTGAGACATTGTGACTGTGGTTTGAGCGGATGCGTGCAGAGTAGGAAGCTCGTGGCAAATCAGTTCCGACGTGATTTTGCCCAATCTGTTCCTGCAGTTGGCACTGCTCTGCAAATGGAAGCGGCCATCTGGCTGAGGAATGACGTCACTGGTGACACGTCCACCGGGCTCTCGCGCGTCGCCTGCTCTGCAGGTGATAACATTCACCGGGCAGATGGTCGCTGCTCGCAGCGAGTTCCCAAATCAACACACGTGAACCAGAAATCAAAATTTGGCATCTCATTTAAGAACTGGTGTTTCCAAAGTGACTTTCTTTAAACTGGAAGAGGGAAGGTTTAGATGAGATATTAGGAAGAAGTTCTTCACTGTGAGGGTGGTCAGACACTGGAACAGGTTGCCCAAGGAAGTTGTTGATGCCCCCTCCCTGGGAGTGTTGAAGGCCAGGCTGGATGAGGCTTTGAGCAACCTGGTCTAGTGGAAGGTGTCCCTGCTGCTGGCAGGGGGGTTGGAACTGGATGAGCTTTAAGGTCCCTTCCAAACCAAACCAGTCTGGGATTGTACGATTCTATGACACTAGCCACAAAAATGTGCTCTGCCTTCCCAGGCCATTTTCACTAATTGGTACCCTATGCTGACATCATACACATGTCATTTATGACAAAATGATGCACAAGGCAAAAAAAACCCCAACAAAAAAACCCCAACCCCACGCTCTCAACTAACAGTCTGTTTTACTCTTGACCAGCCCAAGACTGAACATCCCCCTTTTTGGGAAACACATTCAGTCTTAAAGCCTGTGTTCAGGTTGAGCATGGAACATGGTTTGAGAGCAAGGGCCTGCAGCTTCACAGCCAGTTCCAGCTCCAGGTAAGCACAGGTTGATTCCAAAAAAGTCCCATCCACCTCTGGTTACACACGCCTTGTGCATTGTTTGGTGTCACCTCTAGCAGCCGTGCAGGTTGCTGTTGGGCAGTAGAGCAACTAATGAAACTATGCCCAAAAGACAGAACTATTCAGAACATCAAAAGGTAGTTATGCATCAAAAAAAAGGGCCTGTCCCTGGTGATTCAGATGTCTGAAATGGAGTTACTGATTGAAAAGACAAAGCATGAAGAAGAAGGAGAGGAGAACAAAGAGGGCTGGAAGGCTGTTGATGTGGAGGTGGCTGTAATTTAGGTAACAATCTTACAATGAAAGCAGTGACTCACTAAGGACATTTGAAAAGAAAAAGGCTTAAGGAAAAATGTCTTTAAAATCATTTTACTTTAAGCAAAGAAAATTATAAGCAGCCCAGTGGGTTGTTTTGTTCTGCAGAGGATTAAGTGTCTTGCAATGCAGTCATTAGATCAGGTATGGAGAGAAAGGCACCCGCAACTGTAACACAGAAATCTCAAGGGCAAGAAAAACAGTGATTCACTCCTGAAGGATCGCTCTGGCTGGCAAAGAATAAATTCACTTCCACGCTGAATCAAAGCTGCAGCTCAAACTGAACACACTCACAACCTATGGGATTTGTATTTCTGCTGATGCCTGTAGACCTGCCTCTTGTTCCTCTTCACAACATGGAGAACCCCCCCCCCCCGTTCTAATGCACAAAGGAATGAACTTCTGCCCAGACAGACACAATCACACCTGGTTTAAATGCTCAAAACCAGGTAAAGTCCTTAAGTCCAGAAGTAATTTTTTCCATGTTCAGTGAAAACTTGCTCTCCTCCTATCAAGACATGATTTAGAATATAAGCTGGGGTCCGTTTGATAAAACCTTTTACTCCTTTCCAAGCACAAACCAAAAACCTGAGAAGTAACATGAACAAACTGTCCAAACATTTGTTCTTTGGTCCTCCTCCTCCTTTTATCTGATCTCAGAACCACAGCTATCTGGCAAGATAATGGCTGATTTATTTTATTAATTAAAATGACTGGATCAACAGATTGCTATCATGTTTACAGCGACTCTTGTTCCTAAATGGGAACAGAATTGCTTGCCTATAATAAATGTTTTAAAGGCTGCACAGCTTCATCAGTTCTCACACGTATTATTAGAACAACACTTTTCACCTACACACTCTTTTTAAGTATTTATCAAGTACGTTACTGAACTGTAACACATCTCTAGGTCTGGTGTATCAACACCAGAGAGAAATTTCCTTTCTCCTAATTCTCTTCTCACTGCAGCTGTTAGTATGGTCAAAAAAACTCTATTGCAACAGGAAATGTACTTTTTCTGTACACTCACAGCTTACGGGCCTTAAAGTTGAAACACAGGTTAAAACCCCTCTCCCTCTTTGTACAACTCTAGAATCTGCATCTCTTGGTAGCTGATGGCATTTCACGGAAATGAAAAGCTCTGATAAGTACATTTCAAAGAAATGACAAAAAACTGTCAATTCAGAGTAAAAATGCACCTCTCTGCAAATCAGATCCCTGGTGGTGTGAAGAGATATGTTTATGCAGTAAGAACTGAGTTAGCATAGCTTATGAAATGACTGCCCGTCACTGCGATACAGCTGTTGAAAACCACCTCTGAGCTAACCAGCTTTCCTCTGCAGTCAGCAGGAGCAGAAAGCACACAGATGGTCTGTTACCCCACCTCAGCTGACAGGCAGGAACTTCTTCAAACACGCTAACTTCACCCTCAGCATTTGTGCAAACACATCCTGAGAGCTACTGAAACACATGATGGTTGTTGCATTTCCAACAGCGTGGTTCAGTGGCCATGATCTGGTTCATATTGTCAAAGACTCTTGCTTATAATCTAAGATGTAAGATTATTCCACCCCTAATTTTCTGTGAAGCAAAACTACAGTGCTGTGTCTGTGCAGCTGTTTGGATCTGTTGTGTCAGTACACTGACTGCACACGGATACAGACAAACCCCTTTTCAAGCCGTTTGCTCCTCAACGTGTCTTTATGCTGGGAATGCACAATAGGGTTGCTCTGATCTGAGAGACAGGAGGCAGAGACAAACTGCAAGAGAGCTCCCTTGCTTCTTGGGTCTTTAATCACCAGAGATGCTCTTCACATCTAGTCACAATTTCAGCCAGCCTGATGGCAAGGTGGAGTGAAGAATGGAATCTACATCCTGCATGGGGACACCACACACTTGTAATCAATCAGCTTTGTGCAAAGTCTCTGCACGCACAATGTTGTTTTGTTTTGTTTTATCGATTCACTTGGAAGTTAAATGTGGCTTAGCCTGATGATCCCAAGCAGTACTAAAGTATTTCATTAATTTTTGATAGCACAGCAAATACAGCTTTAGGGTTTCTAAGATCAGAACAAAAGTCCTGCAAAGACATAATAACATTTTTCAAAACTAGAGGAACAACAGTCGAGTTTGTTCAAGAAATATAATTACCTTAACCCTAGAAACAAATGCAATTTCAAAGCAGGTCCATGCTGCTCTGATTTTACAAATGAGATATTATCTGAACTCCCACATCTGATATAAAGCCAACAAAAGCTGTATCGCACATGCTCTGGCTAATCAGACAGAAATGTAATCGTATAACTATCACTCTGTTCAGATGGGATTTGTAGTGTTTGGGGATCCAATTGCACACGGCCCTGGTATTAATGACAGCAGAACCACAATCTGGATCTGGCACAGAAAGGTCTGTCAGGGAAAATCTGAGGTGCTTTGGAGAAGACTTTCCAGGCCAAAATATACAAGTGTCTGGTCAATTATGACCCTTCTCCAGAGCAAACTCATAATTCCACCTACTCACAGACAACAACTGCAGTATGAAAATCCCTCCTACTCGAAAGGAGCTGAAACATGAAACACTACTGTGTGAGGAGGTAGAAAGTCAGTTACTCCAACCTTCAGTAGATTTGGGGTTTTGTTTTGTAAATAGAGACTTTTTAAAATTAAATTTCCTAATCAGAAAATCCAAGCTAGGGAATAACATGTCTTTTGGAAGGGAAGTGCCATTTCAACACCCAAGTTTTGGTACCTAATTCCAGGTATGTTTAGGATCTTTTGACAATTCAGTCCAAATCTCTCTGCTATTGCATTTGCAGAGACAGTGACACTTACACTGCACCATCGTTGGAGACATGAAAGCACAGATTATTTGGGTGGCTTGTCCAAGTCAGTGGCAGTGTCTTATCAACTGGCTTTCTCTGCTCCTCTATGTTTTAGCCAGTGGAAGGAATGGGATGATTTGAATAACAGTGTCAGCTGCCTTGGAGATGGTGCAACATAAGTTTCCACTAACATCAGGCCAGCTGTCAATCAAAGGGTCACAGCTACCCCTAACTTGTAAGAACTTTGTGTGAAGACCACGTGTCTGCTCTATCCCAAGTCCAGAGAGAAAGGGGAAGTTCTCTTGCACCAATGCAGGGACACTTTGCTTATATCCATGAGTAATCCTGTGCAGGCACAGCAGTTCTATCAACACACTGCTGACTTTCCTGCCTTTATTTAAGTTGCACTATAAAGTCTGATACTTGTGCCTACCTGAAATCCATGTTTGCCTCTCCACCACGTGGTCAGCTCCTTTGGTGGCATATCGATAACAGACACTATGTCTCCCACCTGCAAAAGATTGACAACATCAATCACAGCTTGCAATGTGGCTAGGAGGAAAGCACAATTCAAATAACAGCATTCTTCAGCACTGCAAAAAAAAAAACCTGTACAACGGCACCCAGGCCAATCTTGAGACATCTGCCTTTGTAAAATCAAACTGTGAGGTAGAAGATTGCATTATGCAACATACAGCTGTTCATAAGCAAACAATTCTCAAAAGCAGCAGGCTCTCTGCCAAAGGCTACAGAAGCGTTCTGATTAAGCTGCAGACATCAGTAAGCAGTGATAGGATGAGACACTTTGCAAAATATTCTCAAGGAGCTGAACTAATTTTTAATGCATGTCCTATATATGTGTATATAGGCATCGACATATGTTGTCTTCTTTCCTTTCACAGCAAACAGTTAAGAGCTCCCTTCCTAGTTCACAAACTGACCAAGATGTACTTTTTTTAATCAGAAAATGAACAGGAGAGAGACGATTTGGTGTTACAGCAACAGGAAGGAAAATGACCAAGGAGACCAAACAGGTTTTCTGAAACTTTGCTCATTCACATAAAAAAACCCCTTAATACTGCAATAGTTCAAAAGGAAATCAGTATAATCAATACAAAAATTGGCTTGATGGGAATAAAGATCTATGTGGCCTCTATTATAAAAAATGAGACAGGACAGAGTAGAATGGCCAGAACCTAAATAAATACTGCAGCTAACTACAGCAAAAATTGTTAACAGCAATGCACAACTTTTATCAGATATTTTACAGATGCATGTCGAAGTGCTTTACAAAGAAGATAACACATCCCCATTTTTCAGACACGGGGAAGTGAAGTGATTTCCTCAAGGGAACAGCAAACCAACAGCACAGCAAATTTCCATTAAGGAAACTGCTGTCAGCACAGTGAGCAGAGAAGCCAGGTATTTTCCCAAGGACTGGTGAGTAAATGCCAGTCAGCTCCTTTTGCAATTTGCCTGTGAGAAATTAACAATAGCCTAAGTGTAAAGGGATGGTTTGGGTTAGGGAACAGAATGCAGCATTATAAAACAACTGATCGCATCCCACTTCCCTCTGCCAAGGTGCAAACTTGGGAAGCCACGTGTGCCTTGGTTTCCCCGCCTGGATGCTGTGTCTCTTAACACTCACTGGGCTGCATGACAGTTGCAAGGCCAAGTTATCCTGCTGGCACAGAGCTGCAGGATTTACAAGCAGGGAATGCCATCTTAGTGCTTTTCTTAGTACTGAGAGGCTGACAAACAGCCTGTATCCTCCACCGAATGCATTTGAACTTGGGAGATGACATACCCGCGTCTTTCTGATTAGCCTGGTTCTTTGGTCTACGCTAATAATGGCCTCGTCTTTGAATCTGAACAAAACCCTGGCAGCACTAGACTATCACTATTATTTTTATTTCCTGTGCTGCATGCTAAGAATGTGATCACAAAAACTCCTTCGGGCTCTAACTGCTTTCCTTTACACTTTTTTGTATAACGCTGGGAATACTCCATTGACAGTACCACTGCACACAAACAATCAGAGCATAAAATGCTGCTTTCTGGGTAGAACAGACAAGAGCCAGACACCCAAAGACTTCCAGGGCCTGATCTTCCACATCTGTGCTCCACAGCAGCTCCTATTCTGCATCAAGTAAGATTTTCAGAACAGTACTAGATTATCATCTGCTCTTTAAGTACCAATTCTTTGACAATCTGGTTCTTTAATTTTCATGGGAGCAGAAGCTCTTAAAATTATTTTAGACAGAGATTTGCTAACAGGAACACAGGTTGTGTAAACTGGCCAATGAATAATTAAATTGGCACGTGTCCATGTACACACATATGTGGAGAGTCTTCCTGAACAGACTTTTAATCCACTGTACAGTGCAAACTATGCAGGGTCTGCTGCTGCTCAGAGACCAGGCTAGAGTACTTTGCAGTATCTGCTTAATCAGAAGATAACTAATGCCAAGTAAAGCCAGATTTTAAAGATGACTGAACTCCTCACTGTATCCAACACAATGCAAATCTAATATTTAATTGAATCTTCTAAGCTTCACCTCACAAAACATTCTGAAAGTGTCTGAATATTTCCCTGATGCACACACATACACACACACACAGAGGTTACACTCTTCTCTATATGACAACAAGGAATGTAAGCTCCTTTAATTATTTACCTCAAAGGACAGTTCATCCGCTGCCTGAGCGATGTATCTCTTAATAACATGGGCAGCAGCGATAGCAGGAACATTAATGGATGATTCCTCGTGGACTAGCAGGTGATTCCCCTTGTTATCAATCTGAAATAAAGAGCACAGGAGACTGTGAGGCAGCTGAGGACAAGTGAAGAGGCATTTTATTGGTGCTCATACATGGCAGAGACTTCAAGCTGATTCACAGAGACAGCACAGCTTGGGGGCCCCCCGAGGAGAGCAGCACGGAGAGACAGTGTAGGGCACAGCACACAGAAAGGAAGAAGAACAATTCATACAGCCTGTTGCAGAAGGTTGTACGTCCCCTTCCACACAGCTCATGAGAAAAATACTGTATTTGTGCATCTTTGTGTACAAACAGTAACATGACAGTGAATGTTTACACCTCCCATTAACATCAAATCATATTGTTTCTCCTGAAGTACTTGAAATGGCAATATAAAAATGACTAAAAAATTGTCTGGAAAGTGGAATTAATGCACAAGAAGAGGCACTGGGGTAAGGAGGAAATGCTGTCAAACCAAAAACTAGTGTCACTTCCAACTTTCTCCCACCTTTTCATTTCTTCTTTTAAGAAAACATGGCTCCCACCCCTTGCTACAATCGTCAGCCTACTTTCAAAATCCCTAGATTTTTGTGCTCCATTAAAATCTGGTAAGATTCACAGTTACTTGGAAAGGTTATTCTGTATTGCATGTGCAACAGGCTTGCTGTAATCTCTAGGTCCACTGTGTTGCTGCAAATTCTACAGTTTAATTTTTCTCTATAAATTCCTTCCCCTCTTTGTGCTGAAAAGGTTTCCAAGATTTTTCTCAACCCAAAGGATTTCAGGGTGAGGAGCGTCCCAGTGGGGAAAATTGCAGGAAAATTCACTCAATCCTTATTACAACCATTTAAAAATGAATTGCAACAGCCTAATATTAGTTGTTTCTACTCTTGGTGTGCAGCAATATCATCAGGCAATGGAAAGACACATATATCTCTACCCAGACTAATCAGCAAGAGACACAGACAGGTGGCCTCGGTCACTTTAGCCCCATTCTTTCCTACACACTGGTTGCCCAAAAAGGTTTATTGTTTAAGATGGTAGAAGACTATTAACAGAGAAACCAAAGCTGCAGCTGCAATTCACAATATACAAACAGTGCCCCTGCAAGCACAAGGCAGGCTCTGTTGAGCAGTTTAACCAGCAGCGATGGCAGACAGGAGCAGATAATATTTATTGTTTCTGTAGCTATCACCAGGAAAAAGAAAAAAAAAAAGAAAAAAAGAGGACAGATAAACACCATAACTGAGACAGCTCCTGTAGCTTTAGAAACTTGCTGCACTTGCAGTATTGCCTGGACAAAAAGGAGCATAAGAATGTACGTGCTTTCTGCAAGCTATTACTGAGACTTCAGCCAGGAACACAACTTTCCCAGCCGGTCCACTGACCCAATCTCTGCTTCACTAGAATCACCACCTCCTTTTATTTTGTGAATATCAGCAGAATGATGTGTCTTTGGGTGATAACATTCAAGCAAGAGGGCAAAAATGCTCCTATATTCTTAACACTGCATCTGATTCTGTTTGTTCTAACTTTTGTGGCCACCTACATGCCTGCAGTGAGGGAATAAAGCTGTTAGGACAGCATTTCACTGACATCAATAGGTCTGGAAGGATTATGCCTCTTTCCAGAAAGGCAGGAGAGCACATTTGTGACTTGCTCTGCTGCTAAGGTCAGGAAATAAAGAACAGTCTGAGCTTCACACTCTACCTCCATCCATGTGAGAGCAGGCCCACAGTTTATCTTGTTGCCTGCGATGGCCGAGAGACGTGCCAGGTAAGCCATCAGCATCTGGGTGACAAGCTAGAATAGAAAGAAACAGACATACAGTTTTTCTGTTAATACACCATAGTTTGGAGAGATTTCTTCAGACTTAGACCATAAATTATCCATTGCCATAGGCAAGTGTTGTAATATATTCCCTTGTGCAAGAAAATCTGTCATTTGGAGGAGGACAGCAAACAACACGCGGTGTTACGATGATTACACAAAAAAATGTGTAAAGAAGCAGCTGGCTGTGAAAGCAATGCTGTTATTTTTATAAGATATGCAGATTTTCATAATTTCCCTTGTCAAGACACCTTAAATCTCAAGCCCTCGTCTCATCATGAATTTCACACACAAACAAATCATTTGTATTATGGCCATCAAACACATCTGAGAACCATTTAGCGAAACAAAACACTGGCTGCCACTTCCACCCACTTGCAAACCCTTAAGAATGTGGTAACTCGGAATGACCCCTTGGAGAAAGAGTAATATTTCAAATAGGAGAAGAGGGGTTTAAAAATACATTCAGCAATGTCCCTTCTATAATAGTAAACTTGTTTTTATTGAAGAGAAGCTAGTGAGGGCTTTCCAAAGCTTCACAGCGACAGTGTTATAAAGCAGTATTGTAAGCCCAGAGTCTGGAGACTGTTTAAAACATTGTTCTCCTCAAACATCTGTTCAAATGTGGTCAATTCAAAATAAAAAATACAGTACAAGACACC